ATTGTCGATATCTAACGGCCAATATCTCGCAATCCGGGCAAGTGAGATCTTGGCCCCGGTTTACCAGGCAAATCTTGGACTGTTACCGCCTCGAAGCATCACACAATAGCAGAGCTGCCGCTTGTTTGATTGCAATGCAATCTGGCTTTCCACACACACACACACACACACAAAAAAAAAAAAAAAAAAACAGCTGGGACAACTACCATCCCATCCCATCCCCCCTCTTCCGCCCTCTCCCCTCTGGCCTACCTCAGGGTGATACTGCAGGCCGTAGATTCGCGCGTCCGCATTTTCGATGGCCACTATTGTGCCTTGTTCACTGCGCGCCACGACAGAGAAACCGTCAGGAAGACGAACACACTCGTCACCATGGCTCATCCAGACGACCTGGGGCTTCGCAACATTCTCGCAATCGCCGTATAGAACAGAGCTTGCACAAGGCGCCATCTCCGTTCTGCCATACTCCTGCTCCGTCGCCCGCTTCACACTCCCTCCCAGCAATTTCACAATCAATTGCATTCCATAACAAATCCCCAAGACGGTTACTCCGTTGGCCCTCGTGTAATCAAAGAACCCATCGAACAAGGAGGGCGACCCAGGCGTTTCCACAGATTCTGGACCGCCAGATAAGATGATGACGGCGGGATTCGATCCCTGGATCCGATCTCTGCTCGCGTCGCCGGGGAGACTCAGAGAGTACACTCCCATCTCCCTAATCCGGCGCGCAATGAGCTGCGTGTATTGGGAGCCGAAGTCCAAGACAAGCACGCATGGCCGTGCCACCTCCACCTCCGCTGGCGATGGCGAAAGACCGGAAGACGAGAAGGAATTTCCATTGACGTCTGGCGACACCTCCCCCATTAAATCTTCTTTGCTCTACAAAGCTCGATCAGATCAAGAAGACGGTCAGATTATAAAGATAGACTTAAGTAATATTAATTAATGGAAAAAACAAGACGATAAGGAGAACATCGACCAATGATGGATGGGCGTCTGCTGCGATGGACACACGGAGATGGAGCAGCAGCGGGGAGCTGAAAGAAGAAGGGTAAAGATTGGAGATGATCAGCCCCGGCTGCGGCTATGGCTCGTTGCTTGGCGCGCTTAACCAGTGGGGGCAGCACACAATGGGAGACGCCGACGTCCAGGGAGATCTCCGCACGCACGCCGGCTGCACGGCGAGCGCGGGCAGCGAAGGCCGCGCGGCCGACTTCCTCACGTCCGGCGGTCCGGCTGGGCCGCCCTCCCTCACGTCCGGCGGTCCGGCTGGGCGTATCGTAATACCCGACTCCTCTCCGCCGCTTTTGGGCCCGCGCTCGCTCCACTACTCTCCAAATGTGCAAAATGAGACTGAATGCTATGCTAAACACGGAAAGATACATTGCTATATATTTTGTCGTTGTGTATGTGGAGAGCAATGGAGGGAGGCCCCTTATGGGATGTTTGGGAAAATTTCCGATACGCCCCTGAAATAGGGTGTACTTGCGGCATGACCCTCCTACGGCACGTTTACCCTGTCGTGCCCTTGGGGCCTCTGAACTTTCCTGCAAGCCCCTGTCAGTGACCCGCACAACGTTCCAGCATGCCCCTGTGCCCGTTGGTGGCACTCGTAGCCCTGGGAAGGGAGCTACCGCGGCATACTGGAATTTGTAGCCCATGGGGGCATATTGAACATATTTCAGGCCCAAACAATGCCAGGGGTTTTTCGGAACCTTCAATCATTGTCAGAGGGGTGCGACCGGGCTACCTCGGCATACTGGAATTTGTAGCCCATGGGGACATATTGAACATATTTCAGGCCCAACACAATGCCAGGGGGGTTTTGGAACCTTCAATCATTGTCAGAGGGGTGCGACCGGGTAAGTCGGCCATCAGAGGGGCACACCGCCTACAGATCGACAGAGGCATATCAATCAAAGATTTTCCCTTTCCTTTTTTTTTTTTTTTTTTTTTTTTTGTCGAAACTTCGTATACAGGAAACCTACTTAAACCGATGCTAATCTTCTCTGTATCAGCGGGGTAAGGCATCCGCGAGTCTTCCAGTAGCGCAAAATTTGGCGCTCCGCTCCGTTGGCGGAACCAGGCTTCACGCCACCAGAAGACTCTAGGCCCAAGGGGACACGGCGGTTGGCACAGTGCGTGCTCTAAGTCAGTGCCCTTGGGTAGTACCGAGGCAGCCATCACAGCGAGTCACCGACATGATGACCGAGGTGTTGGAGAGGCTTCGTGCTCGGCAATTTCCGAGCCAACTCCGGTGGAGGAAGACCTTCGGGTTGTCCCTTTTGTTACTATTCTCACGAGATTGTTGTGGAAGACGTGCATATGTGGACTAAGTGCAAAGCTCAGCATACTAGGGAGAATTTGCAATGGGTGTGCGCCGACCTTGGGCGCCTGCCACTGATGCGTAGTGAGAGTCAACGCGACAGAGAGGTGGTGTGGAGTACGTCGGATGGCGTCACAAGGGAGAGGGGTTGGGCAGCATGAAGGGAGAGGTCGTTCTCCTCAAGTACCTGGGGATGTGCCTGTGTCCGAGCACAGACTCCGCCTATTAATCTTGAAGTGTTACGATGATGGGGTGCCCCTGAAAAATTTTGTCATGGGGAATGGATAGTAGAAGGAGGTGTCTGTACCTTTGTAGTGAACCCCCGACTGGATGAGCTCACGACCAGCTGGTTAAAAGAACGCACAGTTACGATTATTTTCCAAGGAGCTGCGAGAGACCTCCCGATGCGAGTGAGGGAAGATTTGATCAGGGCGTACGAGAATGGGTGGTACCGACAACGGACGTTTGAACGGAACACTGGTCGTGGGAGAGTTCATGCTGAGGGACCAAACGTCATCTCGTATGTCGCTAGATCCAGGGAGGTGGCGCAGTGGCTAGTGGCAAAAGCAGAGGATACCATCACTATTCGGGGAGTGGAGTATTCCATGCACTTCAAGCCATGGATGACGAAGTCGGAGTTAGAGGAAAGAATACGCCTAGAAGATGAATCTAAATTCTGGGTGATGGCAATTCGTGTCCCACTTCGCGTCATGTTTCACGTGGAAAACATGGTGGAGACTTCCATGGGCCGAGTAATCAAGAGTCTTCCGCCGAAACAAGATCGTACAAGACCCAAGCTAATAAACCTGAAGTTTGAATTGGTAAGAGAAGCAGAAGATAAGTTTGAACTGGAACTTTCGATGCGACTGGGGAGGGAGGTGTTCCGGCTGAGGTTCGTATGCAAGCACAACCCTTATTGCGACAGATGTCGTTGGTGGTTCCACACTTCAACTGATGGTTGTCCACGAAAAGGCGAGGAGGAGGAAGCGGCAACTCAAGGAGATGGGTGATTTCGTCAGCAACCAGGGAATCGTCATACCAGGGAGGCAGCGAGGGAGGACACGAGGGGAACGGCTCCTCTAATTTCGAGAGAAGTACGGAAGAGCCCAAGCGGAAGGATCTCAGGCGGGTTACGCTCGAGGGACCGACCGCCAAGCAGCCGGCAGTGGCAGTGGTGTCGTCCGCCCGCCCTCCCAGCAGCAAGGAGGCACAAGGGGCAGAGGTTTGTATAACCAGGGCTCTGGCTCTACCCACCCCCCCACGCCCTTGAGTGGGTCGGCCCGGGGCTTTCAACCATATGTCCCACGGTCGGGAACGCAATCCGGAATCAATCAACATCAAGGAGGTTTGGTCAGGTCGTCATCAGCGTCGGGGTTCCCATATCGTAATCAGTCTGGGATAGGGGAAGGCCTCAACTACAAAATATTTTGGCCTGCAGGTGAACCAAGTCGGGAGGGGGGGCAGGAGCGAGAAGAAGCACAGCATCTGATCACTTACGCCTTCGCTCTGACCCGCAAGGACACGGGGCCTTGCCTCCAGAGGATGAAGTCGAGGGCTCGGAAGATGAGAGGGCCTCACAAGGCACTTACGCTTCCACAGAGCTTCGCAGGGACATAATGGAAGAGTCGCCTCGCGCTGTCCCGGGAGGAATCGTTTCCAGCTCGCAGAACGAGGGTTCATTGGAAGAGAAAATGCTTTTACCACTGGTGTGTACGACACAGGAGCAAGAGCTGTTCGTAATTGGGTTGTTGGACAGGGATGAAAACCTGGTTCTACCAGCAATAGGACTGGAGGAACCCCCGATGCCAGCGCTCATCAAAGATAGGGTGCGTTACCTGTTTGACGACAGATTTGATTTTCGTATATTTCCGGAGTTCTTCATGTCAAAATTGCGCTTTGACGTTGCCCCAGATAAGGCGGTACGTTTCACAGTGGTTTTTATTGATGCTAGACTGTCTGTTGAAGCCTGGGTGGGTCTTCATCAAGTTGGTCTAGGCTTCTTCCCGCTAAATGCATTGACTCTGCCTTCCATTGACATCCTGTCTCAGGTTATAATTGAGCCAGGTGTTTCCGCTGCTTGCTTGGCGGATTTGAATCCGAACATGCCTCGCGCAGTCAATTTGTTATCTAACGATTTCACCCAGTTCCTAGTGGGAAAATGGTAGGAGCAGGAGTTAGATACAGAGGGTGATGAGGTTAGAGGATTGAACCCTCAACCAACAGGTATCCAAGCCGCAAACCTGGTCAGCTTCCGTAATGGGTAAAATCAAGGTAGCGACTTGGAATGTGCGGGGGATGGGGGAGTCGGGTGGTAAGGAGAAAGGAAAGAGGATCAAATCATGGGTGCATAGGAAACGGGTGGATGTACTCTTTGTCCAGGAGACCAAACTGTTAGAATGTAAGTTAGCCCAACTTAAGGACTGGTGGGACGGTCCCCAACTTCGGTCCCCCGCTAGAGGGACGAAAGGTGGGGTGGCGATCCTAATCCACAACAGGCTAGAGGCAAGCCTGATTGATTTTGACAGTGATGCATGGGGTAGATGGTATTGGGTAAAGATAAAAATTGGGGAAGAAATAAGGGTTTTTGCCACAGTTTATGTCCCGAACGGCGTTAAGGAAAGGGAGTCTTTCTTTGAGATGCTTTCGTATGTCTTACCCAACCACTGCAGTGTGATAGTCGCAGGGGACTGGAACAGAGTGATATCCCCGGGGTTAGATTTGGAGTCCTACCAAGGGCTAACACGGGATAAAGTGGAGTTGCTGAAATAGATGGCCGCCTGGAAATTGAGGGATGTTTACAAGGATCTGCACCCAACAGCGCATGATTTCACATCGACAGAAAAATTCCTATGAGAAATTAAAGTTGAAAAAACATTCCATAGAAAAAAAAACCCTTCATATTTATAAATTATCATTCCAATGTTTGTCAAATTCTAAAATTTCTAATTTAATTTGATAAGTTTCCGTCTAAATATGAACTTTCATCTATTTGTTCAAGATGGAATGAAAGTCTGAACGAGTTTATAAAATGTTTTAATTAGAATTTCATCCTATTACAACGAATATCGTATAATTTAGATTGGATTAACCTATTTATAACTGGAAATCCTTACTTAGAATGGCAGTCCAATTAAAATATTTCATGAACTCATCCAGACTTTCATTCCATCTCTAGCATGCAGTTCAAATAAGAAGGGATACCCCATTCTTGGAAGGAAAGTTTTCAAGTAAGACGGAAAATTTTAAAATTGGAATTATATTTTTTAAGATGGAATGAAAATTTAGAATTTAGAATGTAATTTTACTCTGGAATGATTATTTAATTCTGGGAATTTTTTATTTTGATGGATCGGACAGTTTGCCCAGTTGGCAAGAATCCAAAGGCGAGTAAATTTTTTTTCAACAGAAAAAAAGTCGACAAGATTGACACGTTTATAATTTGGCATAATCACTGATTTACTAAGAGCATAATTTAATCTGGTTTTAAACAGATTAATTTGTTATTAAAATTCTAGGGGTTAGTTTTTTCATGCTTATCAATATGATTCAACTTGTTTCAATATGTTTCAACATGTCTCAACTTGTCTCAACATGTTTCATCATGATCAAACTTGTTTTTTTTGCCTTTAATTATCTCAGTCGTCTGCAGCTGCATTAAAAAAAAAAAAAAAGTTAGGTATTATCTGTGATATATAAAACTTCGATGTAGCTTCTGATTTGGTCGGGGGGGAGGGGACGAGATGACGAGGTGAGATACGTATGACATGTTTGTTTATACATCTTAGCAATATAGCAATATCAGAAAAAAATCAGGGTGAGAGGTTTTGTGTCTGTATATTTTCTATGCCTACGCCACCATTTTCTTCAATTGATGGAATGGATGTTGCGAAGATATTATGTGCACATCCTCCCCCCCTCTCTTACTAT